ACAGTAGCCCTCTAATGGACCCTGGGCAGCACAGAGGACAAGCACCTGGCTGCTATGAAAAAGTCTGCAGTTCGAATTCACCAGATGGCTCCATGGTGCTTCTGTAAAGATTAGAAACCCTATGGGAAGTTCTACTGTGTCCTATTGGGTCACTATGAGTTGGAATTAACTCAGTGGCAACTGATTTATCTTCTTAAGATGGCTCAAGTTGTTGATAGTCAGGGAAAGTGGTGAGGCTCTGTGGGCAGGGCAATGGCCTGGTGTCTGGGGCAGGAGCTGGGCCTTCATGCTGGCCCTCCCACCCCCGCCAGCTCCATTTCAGCATCGAAATAAAGGCAAGACTACACCATTGGTCTTAAAGTGGCATTGTGGGATAAAGCACTGGACCGCAAGGTCAGTTTGAACTACAAGGTTGATGGTTCTAACTCACCAGCCATTCCTTGGAAACTTTATACAGGGTTGCTATGAGTCAGAACCAACTTGACAGCACTTAACAACAACAATGACACATGTGGAGTGTGGTGGACCCAAAGGATAAGCACTGGACTGCAAACCATAATGTCTACAGTCAGAGCCTGCCAGTCACTCTGCGTGAGAAAGATGAGGCTTTCTGCTCCCATGATGATGGAAACCCTATACGCAGTCACTCTGAGATAAAACCGACTCAACGAAACTTAACAACAACATGATATCTGTAAAACTTGAGTAAGTTCAAATCAAAGGCAAACTAGGAGAGTCCTAGCATGGTGCTGTCGATAAGCACTAGACTGATAAATGCAAGGTCAACAGTTCAAACCCCACCAGCTGCTCTAGGAAACCCTACACAGGGTTGCTATGAGTCGGGACTGACTTGATGACATACAAGGTCTTGATGGTACCAACAAGGTCTGAGGTGAGGAAAGAGGCTGTTGCCCCAGGGAAATGCAATCTCTGTGGGGAAGTGTTAACATTTTTGGGGTATTTTATTTCCTGGGATATTATAGTATAATGCAGAATATTTACTATAGCACATGCCACTGCTACTTAGGATGTAATACTTTAGATATTAAAATTGAAATACATGAGAAAATTAAAAGTATGATTTTTTAAAATGTGCTGTGTTAATTATAAGCCATTATCACTAAGAATTTTCTGTAGTAGGAAAAAGAATGATTGAAAACAAAAGAGAAGGGGCGGGAAGGCAGAATGTACCCTTTCACGTGACCACTCAGAAAACTGTACAAAACCCAGGAAATGATGTCTTTCACACACTGCAGCAGAGTCAGCACAGGGCTGCGAGCCCCAAGATGCTGACTGTGCGCAGGGGTTTCAGGTTAAAGCACAGGAGAAGGAGCCCACACAGAGCCCAGTGGTCGTGCTAAGTTGAGGAGACAGTCTGGAGTCTGAAGAGGTTACAAAGAGTAGGATAAAATATAAGCAAGGAGAAACTCATACAGAGAAAGAGCTGGAAATGTCCCCTCAAGTCTTTGGTTGAATATTTATCCACACATGTGTGATAGTTGGGAAAGAACCAGCACAAATAAGTATGCAGAAATTCCCGAAGCATATCCAGAGCTGAGAGTAAGTCTGTATTCCTAATGGTCAGAGGAGGGAGATTCTTTAATATATGCAGCATCGAGTAAAACCATAATCTTGTCTCAAAGAATCAAACTGATCCCAGTAACTTCATGCACCGGGCCGGGTGGGGGAGGGGGGAGGAGACTCCAATAATATTTTCAAAACTAAAACAAAATTAAGCAATCAACGAGATAAAATTCACAATATCCAACACTGAATTTAAAAAACAAACAAATTAGTAGACATGCAAAGAAGCTATAAGTGGTGGAGCTAGAAGACAAGGCTATTAAAATGCCTATTATAAACATGACCAATGTTCAAAAAGGTAGAAGAAAGTATCTCAGTGATAAGAGAAATGAAAGAGTTAAGAGACCCATATGGAATTTCTAGAGATGAAAAAAATAAACTGAGAAAAATAAATATACTGAGTGGGATTAACAGCAGATTAGACACTTCAAAAGAAAAGAGAAGTAAATTTGAAGGAACAGAAACTATCCAAAATGAAAAAAGAGTGGGGAAAAACAAAACAAGACGTAGCACCAGTGACTTGTGGGACAATGTCACACTGGCTAACAGATACAACTGTAGTGCCAAAAGGAAAACAGTGAGGGAACAGAAACAAATGTTTGATGAAATAATTGTTGAAAGAATTTCCAGAGTTAATATAAACTAAAAACCTACAAATCCCCAAAGCTCAACAAACCTGAAGCAGAATAATCAGAAGGGAAATGATAGCAGGGTACATCATAAGCAACTTGCTGGAAAAGAAAAGAAAAGCAGTGAGACCACAAAACAAAAACAGACAAACGGTTACAGAAGAAAGATGTACGTATGACATCATGCTTATCATCCCAAACTATGGACAAACCATGGAAAGACATCATTTGAAAGTACTAAAAGAATATACTAGCTATCTAAAATTGTTTACCCAGAGAAACAGAGCTTTCTCAATTAAAAACCAAATAAACATTTGGAGAATTTATCGTTAGCAGAGCTACACAATGAAAATATTAAAGGAAACTTTTTAGGCAAAGGAACATGATACAACATGGAAAGCTGGATGGAACCAAAGGAATTGAAGAGTACAGAAATGATATATAGCAGGGTAAATTTAAAAGACATTTCCCCCCTTCTCAAAATCTCTTTAAAGGAACCCTGGTGTGGCACTTGTGGCACTGTAGGATAAGCACTTGACTGCTAACTGCAAAGTCAGCAGTTCAAACTCCATACAGAGTCATTAGTAGTCAGAATCAACTGGACAGCACTTCACAACAACAATTTCATAAAAATAACACTTCTTTTAAAAATTATACAGCATAATGGTTTAAACATCTCAAAAAACATACTGTGAGATGCAATCAGAAGCTCTGTACAGAAAACCCACTTTAAACATTAAAAAACAAATAGGTTCAAAGTAAAAAGAAGAGGAAAGGTGTACACCAGGTAAGCTTTAATTAAAAGAAAGCTAGAATGGCTTTCTTTATATTAGACAAAGTAGACTTCTGAACTAGAAATACTACCAGGGATAAAAAGTGACATTTCATAATGTTAAAGGGGTCAATTCAACAAGAGGACATTACAATACTGTATGTGCTTCAAAATGTATGAGGCAAAAACTGGGAAGTCACAGGAGAAACAACTACAGTTGGAGAGCTCAACATTCCTTTCTCAGTAATTAAAAGAACATGTCGACAGCAAAGCCAGAAGGATCTGGAAGGCCTGAACAACACTATCAGCCGACTTGACCTAACTGACATTTATGGAACCTTCCAGCAAACAACAGCAGAACAGCCATTCTTCCAAGTGTACAGAAAACAAGACTCACAGCTGACCACACTCAGGAGCCCAGATCAAGTCTCCATAAGTTTAAGCAGATAGAAATGATACAGGATATGTTCTGTGACCACAACAATTATCAGTAACAGATATCTGGAAAACCTGCAGACTTGGAAAATAAACAACATACTTAAAAAAAAAAAAAAAAAAAATCACAAAGGCAAGTGGAAAATATTTTGAACTGAATGAAAATAAAAATACACCATATCGAAACTTGTAAGATAGTTTTAAAAGAAAGGACTCATTAACAAACTCATAAGAGCAGAGTTTAGCTGACCTGAATCAAGTTGTTAATTAAGTATTAATGAATTATGGTGGTGGCTATTCATCATTACCGAAAAATACTTTATTTGCCAATATTTATTGAGACGCTCCAATATTTTGCCAGGTAATATTTAGGCCTGTGCCCAAACAAGTAATAGCAGGCCTATGTAAGTGAAGGCAGCAAGATCTCCCTCGGGCAAGATGATCACAGGAGGCTGCTCAGAGGAAACATCTTGGGCCAGAAGCTTGCACTGGACAGAGCTGTGTGAGTGTGGAAATAGGGTTGTAGGCAGCAACCCACCTTGACTAAAGGCAGAAAGGCCAAAAGGGCAGGAGGCAAGTTCCAAGAATAGCTATATGGGTATCACAACACAGAAGACACGTGGGAGAGGAAGGTGGGTGTTTAGTGGAAAGTAGCAATAATGCAAAAATCCTGATGGAGGGCCCCACTGAGGACTGTTTAATCTCGTCTTACATATGACTTAGAATTCCCCATCGAATGACTGCTAGGGCTGAACTGGCAGAACTCAAAAGGGCAAATTGTGAAAAAAAAAAAAAAAAAAAAGGAAAGAATCATGTGTTTTAAAAGAAAATTATTAAGAAATGTAGTCTGTCAAGAAAGCCCAGTCACTGGACTCTCCCAGACTTGCAGACATAAAAGAAAACACATTCTTGAGTAAAGTATAATTGTCTGGGTTGTTTGGATGAATACAATGCCAACGACCATTTCAGAATTTGCTATCTAGGAGCAGGCAGAAAAAGAAGGCTTTTATTTCACGCCAATGGAATGACTCTCACATACTTGGGCCTGGTTACTATGTGACACACGGGATGGCCACATTTCACAACGTTGATTAGAAAACTAAACTGCACTCGAGTAAAATTAACTGCAATTAGCTTACATTTGAAATTCCAATGACTTTCAAGTATAGCAATAACACTCAATGCGAAACTGGATTGGGATGCTTTGCTTATTCCAGTAAACACAACGAGCTAAGGTTTACTGTTTTGTATGAACTGGGAGGGAAAAGCCTTTCTAAGCTGATCTGAGAGGCATTTATTGAGGACAGCATCTATGACATGCCCATTTATAAGCCACTTTTGAAGCCAATCACAAGAGCAATCAGAGGCCTCCCACGACAGCTTTTTCCTGCCATGCGCTAGGTTTGCCCAGAATCGGGGTAGGTTTAAAAAGTGTCCATGTAGAAAGAATTGCAAACTAGCATCCTGGGAGTGACTAATTTAACTTTCCTGCTGTGGCACGTAAAGTCAAACCTCAAGATGCAACGAAGAAGGAGGGAAGGGGGGGAGGGAAACATCTGGATAGGCTCCAGAACACTCACCCGTGCAAAGTCAAACGCATATCTGTAAATAAGTTTAAAGTTTGTAGAGTCATTTAATAACGATCTTAAGTACTCCAAAGTATTTCTTAGTTTTTCTGTGGTATCACATCTAGAAAAACAGAATAAAGGCAAATTATAACCTGAGTTTTTCCTTAGTTGGGGCACTAACAGAAGGAAAGACTAAAAACCCTAAAATGGGAACACACTCTTGCTAACCGAGTTTTCTATACTTTTTACTGTAAAGTTTATCAAATGTACAGAAGAAATGAAATAGTAAATGCCCATGGACCCTCCCCCTGGATCTGCCAACGAGCACGTTGTCACATTTGTGTGCACTTTTTCTCTGAGCTGTGTGAAAGCTGCAGACAGGATGGCACACTTCACCCTTAAACGCCCCCTAAGTACAACGGTATTCTCCTCCTAAACCAAAATACCATCATTACTCTTTTTTTAAAACCATCTTATTAACTTTCTTAACTAATATACATTCCAAATGCAAACGTCCCAATTGTCTCCAAAATTTTTTGATAGCCATTTCTTCCCAATCCTGGATCCAATCAAAGAGCATGCATTTCTTGTAGCACTCTAATTCATCAGAGTGAGCGCTCCAACTTTTTCTTTCTTGACATTTTCATTTTTTTGAAAGGTCCACACTCTTCAAAATCTCAAGTTACCAGATAAATTCCTACAGTGGCTGCAACATGACAATAACTGTGAAGATGGCGTAGGACCATTTTGCTGTTCACTGGGCTGCTGTGAGTCAGGACCAACTACACGACACCTAACAACATTTAGGCTTCATCCTTTCGACAGGGACACTATATGTGATGATGTGTCCTTCTCAGTGTACCCCATTTTAACAATAGAGTCCTGGTCTGGCGCTGTGGGATAAAATATAGGTCGGTTTGAACAGCAAGATCAACAGTTCAAACTCACCAGTCGTTCCTCTGAAACCCTACAAAGGGTCACTGAGTCGGAACTGACTCAACGGTATTTAGCATAGCACAGCACCCCCATATTGGTGCTGTCGTCAAGTTGGTTCTATCTCAGAAGATGCTTTGACGATACGGCTATTCTGTTCTTCACTAACGTCCTGTGCCCAGAGGATACAAAATCCACAGATAACATCATCCTGAATCAGTTACTGCATTGGTAGATACAAAGTGGTGACTGGCCAATCTTATCCTTCCTTCTACATTTACTGCCTGGAATCCTTCTGTAAAGAGTTCTGTTCAGCACTTTTAGATTTTTTTGAATTGATGGGTTTAGAGTTTTGAGTTCCATGTGCTGCGATCTGTTGCTGTCTTTATTCTTTCGGATTGATGTACAAACTGTCCCAGTCTGGGTACTGGTCCCTTCAAGCTGGCTCCAGTGTCATTCCGACAGGTTCCCATCAATCTTTAGGCAGTTCCTAGCTTTCTGGAACAAGATGTCCCTGCTCACTTTGTCCGTTCCCTGTCCCAGATTTGAGATCAGTCATTTCTCCAGGGAACCAGGGTGAGGAGAACCTGTTTTCAATGGTTAGTCACACACTGTTTACTTTTCATAAGGAAGTAAACTAATTGGTTATCTTTACAAATTAGTTTTCTGTTTGCAATAAGTACCAAGAGTATCAATAATATGAAAGTGTTTCAATGCTGGATATGCTTCCTCGTGTTTCTCCATAAAGCATTACCTACTAAGTATAGAGAACACACACTGAAAGTATTATCAAAATAAATATTCTGTGGATTTTATAAGCTTACATAGGTTGTTGTTGCTGTGTGCCGTTGAGTCGATTCCGACACATAGTGAACCTGGATAGGGTTTCTGAGGAGCAGCTGGTAGGTTTGAACGGCCAACCTTGTGGTTTGTCGTCTAGTGCAGATTTCTACGGCACCACACCAGGAGTCCTTACATATGGTTCATAATAAAATACACCAATTTCTTTTTCAGCAATAAAGTTGCGAAAAATCCTTTCTTTGCAGCGCATTACAAATACATTCCCATGATCTCTCTGTTGAGATGAGAAACCATCTCAAAGTAAAAAATCAAGGGTAAATATTTAATTGCTATGGGTCCAGAGTAATTTAGAATGTTCTTTAGTTCTTTCTGATGTTTGGTAATAATAAACCTAAAAAGGTTACGTTGGAAAAGGTTTCTTTAAGGGGCTGGCACATAAGCTGAGAGGTTAAAGTCAAGCAAAAACTAGATTGTCGGGGAGGAGGAGCAAGGGCTATCCAGATCTGAGCAGCAGCCATGAAAACAAAAAAAAAGGCCCAGTGGCTGAAGGAAGGATTACCAAGCCCAACGGATGAGAAGAACGGTTATAGCTAGAGTGGGAAAAAACGAAAAGGAAAAGTGGTACCAGATGAGGCTGAGGAGGAGCTGGAGCTAGCCCATAATGGGTTTCTGAGGTCCACAGTGAGTGATTTTTACAATTGAATCCTAGAAACAATGGAAGCTGCTTCCCATCGTAGGAGTGAGCACGATCAGGCTCACATCTTGAACAGCTCTCTCTGTGGAGAAGGGCTTGGGAAAGCGAAAGAAAAGACACAAAAGTAGGCATTTTACATCAGGGATGATGGAGACTACGGCACACAAGGAAGCTACAGCAAGAATGGGAGCGGGGCTTACTGTACATTAGGCGCTGTGCTGTCTGGTTTAATTTTTTTAAGCATGTGTGCATAAAATCATGATCATGATGATGATGGCAGAAAGTCAAAGATGAGGGAAATTAGCTAACCTAGAAACATAGAAAGTCGGCTCCCTGCTCTTCCCTAGACAGGATAGGATGGTCAGGACCAAACCCACCGGAAATCAGCTAGTGCCCAGTGAGGGGAAGAAGAGCAGATGTTCACTTTAACAGATACAGGAACAGAAACCACTCATTAAGAGGGCCACTGCTCAATTAAACAAAGTAACTGTGAGTCTCTGGACCAAGCAGCAAGGCCAAAGGGAAAGTTGTGCAGCGTGTTGGAAGTGAGTCCAGTCACCCTGGCAAACCGATGTCCCTATGTAGGATAAGCACTTGATCACAAAGTCGGTTTGAGCCACAGGGTCAGCAGTTCAAATCCACCAGCCACTCCTCTGAAATCCTATACAGGGTTACTATGAGTCGGAGCCAACTCGAAAGCACTTAACAACGACCGAAAGATGCACAAGAAATCTTATCCAGACTGTAAAAAAACAACCGTCTCCTTAAGTATAAAATGCGCTGAGTTGTATTTCCATTTCACTGATCCTTATTAAGGATGGTTACATGAGTTAGAGCTAATTACAAGGGGTTTCAAAAAATTCGTCAAAAACACTCGTTATCTTTCTTAATTCCATTTTCCACAAATTTTTTTGACGTTCTCTCATATTGTCAGTAAAGAGAGTTTCACCTGTTTTAATTGGCACCTTATCCAACAGAGCAGTGTCTAGACTAACGCCCATGAGGTAATAGGCTGTCACTGGGCCCGGAAGGAACCTTAGGCTGCCATCTAGTGGGCTCTCCCATCAGTGTCTGTTCCTCCGCAACTCCATTAGCAAAGGGTCTGTGAAGAAGCAGGCTTGGGAAGTTCAAGCCACTAATTTCTGCCCTAGTGGTGGTGGTGGTGGTGGTTATGTCTCTTGGAGTCGGTTCCGACTCACAGTGACCCTGTACAGGGTTTCCGAGGCTGTAAATCTTTACGGGAGCAGAAAGCCTCATCTTTCTCCTGTGGAACAGCTGGTAGTTTCAAACTGCTGACCTTGCGGTTCGCAGCCCAATTCGTAACCACTACGCTACCAGAGCTCCTTTATGCCCTCGTAGGAAGCTGTCAAGTAGGTTTTGACTCATTGCAAACCGGTACAGGGTTTCTGAGGAGCGGCTGGTGGATTTGAACTGCCAACCTTGTGGTCAAAACCGATTTAGCGATCCAGTGTTTATACTACAGTGCCACCCCAGGACTTCTAGTATAAAGTTACTGTTGGTTGTTGTGGTTGTTGTTGTCAGGTGCCATCGAGTCGGAACCGACTCATAGCGACCCCATGCACAGCAGAACGAAACAATGTTTGATCCTGGGCCAACCTCACTACCGCTGCCACACTTGAGTCCATCAATGATGCCACCTGGCTGATCCATCTCGTTGGGGGTCTTCCTCTTTTTCTCTGACCCTCCACCCTACCCAGCATGACATCCTTCTCCAACGATTGTTTCCTCCGGACAATATGTCCAAAGTAGGAGAGACGAAGCTTAGCCATCCTGGCCTCCAAGGAGCACTCTGGCTGCACTTCTTCCAAGACGATCTATTGGTTCTTTTGGCAGTCCATGGCACTTTCAGTATTCTCCTCCAACACCACAACTCAAAGGCATCAATTCTTCTACGATCCTCCTTACTGTTGGTTTGTTGTTGTTACGTGCCGTCGAGTCAGTTCCGACCCATAGCGACCCTGTACAGGGTTTCCGAGGGTGTAAATCTTTACGGGAGTAGAAAGCCTCATCTTTCTCCCGCGGAGCGGCTGGTAGTTTCAAACCGCTGACCTTAAGGTTCGCAGCCCAATTCGTAACCACTACGCTACCAGAGCTCCTTAAGTGCCGTCAAATTGGTTCTGACTCATAGTGATCCTGTATAGGTTTCCGAGGAGCAGCTGGTGAGTTCGAACCTCTGACCTTGCGGTTCAAACTGCCTTTGCAGTCCAGCACATTAACCCACAGCACCACCTTTCCCCCTCAATATTCTGCAAAATCCATCTCAGAGAAATCATAGTGCCAGTGCCACCCATACCTCTAAGATGCATCATTTCCTCAATAAACTATGCACATAATGTGCAATCACTGATTGGAGTTTTGCTGTTGCTAACAGATTCAGAAGCAACAGAACTGAGAATAATAATCCCGAACAGCTTTAACATCAGACTCCTAAACATTAGCAAAGTCAGTTTCCTAGTAGGCATTTTATATCAAACTTTCTCAGCTTTCTGTCTTTCAGGCTTACAGAATTGCCGCTGTGTAGTTTCCACATGTTGCCAGTAGCCAGTTGTTGCTCCCGACAGTATGTGGAAAGATGAGAGTGAAACTCAGTTCTGAGGTAGTGTTGCTCTATTCCCAGGGGAAGGTCTTATCCACCGCCACCCTCACTCAGCCAACCTAACGATCTTTTTATA